GGGAGGGAAGTTGGTCAATGGGATTTTGATTCTTATTGATAAAAAATCCTATGTTCTCTTTTCAGATTTATGTGGGGACCAGGGAAAGTTTATTTTTCTGGTAAGTGATGCCCATCTCTTAGGTGGGTAAATAAATTTCTCACCTTGGGGGAAAGTTGTCAACACTTGAAATGAACAAAAATGTCCCTTGTAATAATGGATTTTTATAGATAAAATGGTCATTATCTTATTTACATGGGAAATAAAAGAACATAGGTAAATGCATTTACCCAGGTAAATCTTTCCTGCGAAATGAATACCTGGGTAGGTGCATTTACTCAGATAAATAACTTATCGAAATGCGAATGAGGTCTAAATACTAAATAGTTGTCTTTTTAATAATTGAAAAATGTTTTCAATGAATAGCCTATTCTCTAAAAAAATCATCAATTGATTGCACAAAAAACGATTATCAAAGTATGGATTGAGTGTGACTTGAAGATCTGCATTGAAAAAGAACAATTTCGCACCACAGTAGAGATGCGAATGGAAAAAGAACAATTCAGGAATGTCCCGGCATAAGTACATAACATTAACACCGTTGGCAACTTGGTATCAATGGAGTTATGGAGATCCCAATACTTGCATACATGGAGAGAGGGAAATCCGACTGCTGATTGGATAGTCAACGTAACGGTTATTTTGTTTTGATTTGCCATACCTTGCAACCTTGGCTATGTTTGGTTTGATGAAAAAAATAAGAAACAGAAAGTTGAGAGGAAGTTAACAAATTTTATGAAAAATTTTCTGTTTCTCTTGTATCTTATTTTCTGATAACCTAATGCATCTAAGTATATTGTTTCGGCTATGTAACAAGATTTGAAAAACCAGACTGGACATTGAATCATTTTGGGGACTGATTCCCAGGTTGAACGGTCCAGTAATCTGATTTGAACAGATGATTCATTCTAATTTTAAAAACTAATAATTAAAATTAAAAACAATCAAAATCATTGTCTGGGTCAACATGTCACGACCGCCTGAATAAGTGGGTTGTTGGCCAAATCAACGATTTTTAGCCCAGGAGTGATTTTAAGGTGAAACAGAACCAGTTGCCTGACGAGTTCTAACCAGTCCGGTTTTAGAGGCGGGTTATCCGCCAATTTATCAACCCTCCAAAACCATTAACTAATTACCCATTGGGTTAATGACCCTCAACTCTGAAAATTGTCAGTGCTGGAAAAATCAATCTTGTGTTTGGGTGATGTTTGGAATGGAAACCGCAACAGTAGTTGGGATGCCTTTACACCTCGAAAAACTCAGTGCTAAAACATTACAGTCCAACACAATATGTTTTGTAATTTGCCACTGGCCGCAAATGAGGAATGTTGATCATCATTTAGGAAGCACACATTCATTGTTGAAAATTCTTTTACAGTAGAAGACTCCAAAGAAGCCCAAAAATAAAACAGAAAAAGCAAAAAAGGGTTACCTTTGGCAGCAAAACATATTTGCATGCTTTCTCCAATCTAAGATTGATGAAGATGAGTGGCAAGATGTTCTAAGAAGTGACATTTGGAACTTAGAAGAAGTGAACATTTTGTCAGCTCTGACACTAAGTTGTCACTCTCTCTCCCTGCACGTTTGAACTTTGAAGCAATGTTTCACATATAGCTCTTTATTTCCTAAAGATTATCAATTTTAGGAGGCAAATCTGGTCCAGTACCAAACCACAAAGGGAGTAGTTTGATGTTTTATTTTCAAAACATCTCTGCTTCCAGACACTCCTAGCATGGTCACATTGGCCAAGAGCATGAAAATAGTTACAGGAGATTTTCAAGTATGTCAAGTTAGTAATGATTCCATATCTATGCAGGTTAAACCAGTGGATCATGCGAACTGTGATATTTTTCATGGCCTCTCAGATCAGTGGATCATCTATTTTTTCATCGTTGGGTGAGCTACAGGATTTGGGTTTTCGTGGTTAAGCAGCTCAACGTTGGTGCTTTCCAAGGATGCTCCTGGAGATGGCAGCCTGTTGGCACATCCAAATTTTGAAGAAAAGAGCGAAACTTGCACGGTAGGTGTTTGTAGAAGGAGAAAAACAATAGATAGAATATTTAGGAAAAAGGCTGCTTAAGGTGACAAGTTGCTTAGATCCTGGTGTTATTGTAATAATAATCTCTTGGATCCTGGTGTTGTAGCCTTACGGGGATGTTTCACTCTCTTCGCTTCTTGGGGGGTTATTTGCGTTTTGTTATGCTTTGGATGTTCAGCCGGCAAACTTTGTGAATGGTTTCTCATTGTATTTGTCCTGGCTTTCTTCTTTTGTGTACTCTCTTTGTTCGAGCTATTTAGTGAAATACCTTTGCTTTATATTTTGTCTCTCTTTTTCTAGCTACTTTTCTATTACTCTCTTATATTTACTCTGCTGCATTCTCTATTCCAATCATCATCGTCGTCTAAGTCATTCCAACTATGCACATGAATCTTGATTTTCCATTCTGTTTGTTTAGTGTCAAAACCAATTATATGGATTGGCTACATGAATCCTGTTTTTCCATTCCATTTGTTTAGTGCCAAAGCCCAGGCATGAGCACAAAGGAAGGGACATTTTAAGATCCATGACCATAGGGCATTTTAAATTTATCTGATCATGCTGATGCTAACGATATAGCTGCTCAGCAGGTTGGGAATCAATTATTAATAACACTCCACATTAGTCATAAGGGGCCCACAATCATTCAACCTCTCAGTGTGGAATTAACAGCCGTGCACTGGAAACATCTCCACATGACAATTACGGGAGATGCTCCCAATGCGCACTGAGATGTGCATATGAGGCATGGTCTGCAGGATGCAGGAGCAAGGATTAGCTGAATGCGACGGCCGTTCATGGGCTGTGAAACCAATGATAAGGTTTTACACCGGTAATAAAATGCATGGAACCTCACCTTTCACAGTGGGCACCGTCACATTCAGGCTTCAGCTAATCCGAATTCCTTCGATGCGAACTCCTCTTATCATTGGTCCCACAGCTTGCAACACAGTTAAAACGCTCAGCTAATCCCAATTCTCTAAAACAAGCCAGGCCAGCCCAGATATTCTATCCCCTAATCGCTTTAAAAATAAAAACTAAACAGGGTAGGCGTGGACTGTTTTGGAGGTGTCACATCCCCTACATGCTTTAAGGGGGGAAGGCAAAGTAACCTAGTACTAATCCTTTCTCGGTGAGCAGAGTAGAAACAGAATACTTGATCCATGATCGGTCGGACCTAAACTTAACAGCTCGTAGTCATTAGGCATTTTCTCGATTCCTCAACCCCCTTTCAATGGTTTTGTGTAGTAGGCCTTACCAGTGCCACACTGCAAGCCACAAGCGCCTGAGCTTCTCTGGAGAACCAAAACGAGACCTTATCAGTGGGAACATCAAAGCCGTCGGCATTTCAACCAGCTACCTTCAGCTTCAGTGTTCCAATATTAAAATTTACGCTGATTAGGAGGAAATCACAAAAAACGGCTAAAGCTACTTCGACATCCAGATCGGTTAAAAAACAGACAGAACTAGGAATTCCGCAGTGGATGAATCAACTCCAAACCTTCGCATGAATCATCAGGCTGAAGCCAAATCAGTTTGACGATTAGAAATCTCCCCCAAACACTTTGCTTGCCTTGCAAGTTGCAACTATACGCCATGGAATTAGGCTACTTACCAGTTACCATAAAATGCAGAGAAAGAAAAGCATATGCGCTAAGAGGCATTTGATAATATTTTCAAGATTTCTACTGTTTAATCTGTCCATGGGAAACAGAAAAATAGTTGGTTTTCTGTTCTCCAGGTATAGAAAAATATGAGCAACTTTCTTCTGAAACATTACCAGACGCCACCACAGTCTAGAAAGAAATAACAAAGAAAGTACTCAACTGTTCCAAAAATGAGATGGATCAAAATAAAGATTCCTCTTATTATTTCACAAATCAAAGTGGTTCTTATCTCTGCTTGCTAATAGTTTTACTCTAGAAGAGGAAATATATTAGCATTGTGTTATCTTAATTGTATACATGTAACGACAATCTGAGATGCAGCATGTCTAGCATCTGAATTATCATGGTGTCATGATCATGTGGATGTGTTGCACCAAGCACACTACGACCAGGCAGCTCCAAGATCATCCACAACTCTTGAACTAGCCAGTTTTTTGCTAACAAGATCCCTCAACTCTCCTTCTCCAGGGAATCTCTGTTCCTTCAGCTTAGAAAAAACCTACAATATCCACAAAAGAACATTGAAGCATACACCAACCATAATAAATACTTAACTTCTACAAAGGCACAACACTTGAAAAGAAAGAAGATAAATGTGGTTCTAACCCCCTCTGCATTTCACGTCCCCACATTAAAGATGCATAGATAATGTTAGGAGTTAATAATTAATGCAAAAATCCCATCCAAAATTGGCATGCATGAGATTTCCCATGAAACCAAGACAAGTAAATCATACATGTCAAAATGACCATGAATATAGTTTATTAGATATGCAACCTTAATCTCATAAATATCTGATTAACTTCACCCCTCATTAGCTCACTTTGAKATTTTTTGCAATCCTTTAGCAAACCATGGTGGGAGCCTCGTGCAATGTGCTGCCCTTCTTTTGGCAAATCATGGTGGATAAGGCAAAGTGGTAAAATGTCCAACATGCCATCTGGGATAAACATAAATAGTTAAATAATAAACATGCCCAGATCAAATGCAAAGGGCACTGGTCTCATGGATCAAACTGACTAAATTGTCAGTCACAATCTGTCAACATTTTCTCTACAGCCAAGACTACAATCATTAATGTAGATCTCCTTGGCAGAAAAGGACCATAGAATGGCAGATGCACTCCTTACACAGGCAACATATATACATTTCTTTGCCATTAGAAGATCATATTTTATAGTTTACCCAGTAGGAATCATAGACCTCCCCCAGGGGAGAACTAGAACTAGAAGAAAGTACCATAGGAAATGAAATTAGTGTTAGGAGTGCACATGAGCCAGTTTTGGGCCAAGCCAGGGCCATTCTAGTTCATGAACATGGGCTAAAAATTAGAATCGAATTCTAGCATATTAATTATAGCCCTAAGCCCAGAACAATGGCCCTTGATCTACATTAACAGCCTAATTCATTAGGACAAGAAGAGTCTAGCTTGAGAGGAGTATTTTATAATGTTAAAGAAAAGGGAGTGCCAAGAAGAAAGGAACATGGGGAAAGGGAGTGTCAGGAACCAGCTCATGTTCACAGCAATCCCAGTGAAATGATTGAAGAGGAACAATTTTCCGAAGTTTTTCCAAGTGAAAATGAGGACAGTGAAGCCATGCTTGATATGGATACTCCAGAATATATTGACAGAATCAACAATAAAGGAGAAAAAATAAAGGGGAAAAGGGGAAAGGGGAAAGGGGCTAAAGGTGGTACTAGAGATCAATGGAAAAACTGCAGGGGGGGATTTTTTTTTTTTTTTGAGAAAAGGTAAAGTATTTTGTTAAAGAAGAGAAGTAATTACAGAAGACCTGCATAGTAAGACACTGAGCAGGAAAACAAAGAAAACTTTATACATCCCAAGGACTTCTATTCAGCTAGATACAAAAATATTGCAGTTGTCAAAAGTATTGCAAGGGGGAATTTATCACCATAATTAATGTTTTTTTTTTCTCTAAATCTTTTTATCTTGTCTGTATAATTTGCTGGAGGGAGAGGGAGCAATATTTATGGTTGTTGTGGCCTTCAATATTGATGGTGGAGATGGGTAGTTGTTTCAAAGTGGTGGCAAGGGCAGTTCTGGAGGTTGCTTTTTTCTCAGGCTTATATCTGTGTAGGATGACAGTTTTAGGAGTCGGGGCAGTCTACTCCAGGTGCTCTGCAGCTAGTTGAGAGGGGATGTTTTTGTTTTGGCACTTTTTTGGGGACTTGGATGTTCTAATATGGAGATGTATCCGAGGCTTGTAGGCCCCCCAATAGGCGTGGGTGTGTGGGTTTCTACTATTTTCCCTGTCCCTATCCTCTTTTGTCCACTTTGTGCGCTTGTTTATTGCAAATTCGCAATACAGTAACCATTACTGATCAAAAGAAATCCATAACCATTTCACAGAATCAACATATTCTTTCTGAGCTTGAAGGTCTGAATTTCAAGTTGAATGGCACCTACTTTATATAATTATATTAAAGGTAATCTGATCTGATGTCATAAAGCTTGTAGAGCGTGAGCTGTCACTTACCAATTCCCCATTGCAGTAGACTTCAAAAGCTCCAGAACTCTGCAGGAAAGATTGAACAAAATTGCCAAAAAGCCAAGTGGACGCAATGGTTCCAAATCTGTTTGCACGCATAGAGAAGTACCAAGGAGGTGGTGTCATATAACCCAGCCTTGGGAAGATTTGTTCACCTGCCATTACTATCCCAATAACTCCTACTTGAACAACTGGCACTAGTTTGCTAAGTAGGCGTTTTGGAAATGCTGGGGGATAATTTGAAAGAACAACATCAATTCCAGGGAAAGAAGTTTCAAGCATCTTCTTCACTGTCAATGCAGTTCCCCTGACAAAAGCAACAATGTGGTTTAGTAATAGTACCTTTTGGTAGTAGCAATAGCAATGGTTGTGGTGCTGGAAGCAGCCATAGAAGCAGATGCAATATTGGCAGCAGTAGCAGAAGTAGTAGTAGGAATATGATAATAATAATAAAAATAAAACCAAAAAGATGAATGACTTCTCATAAGAAGCTCAAGTAATACTTACATTACTAAATAATTTTATCAGAGGTTTATAAAGGCAAGAAACTCAACTCAGCCAGATAATAACAATCATAGCTATCAAGGGCCAAGGCAATGCCTAGGCAAGCGCCTAGACAATATCTAGGCACTAAGGTACTCATAGAGGGTCGCTTCACTTAATCACCCTGATATTGTTTTACACAGTGCTCTTAGATGCTTTTATATTCTTAACTTTTTGAGATGATAATAATAAAATAAACATTATTAAACTAAGTTATCCAGTTTAAGTAAAAATACTAGTTTCTTTTTATTACTTTTCTCATTTGTTAGGGTTAAATCAACATGTATTCTGCCTTGAACCCTCGAAGACTTAAAAATTTGAACTGATAAGCATTGAAGAACTCAATTTTTTTTCCAATCAATACATATCGATTATTTTCATCATCATAAGACAAAAATAAAGTCTCAGCCCCTCTTTTTTTTTTTTTTGAAAGAAGTTAACTGATTTCATTAAAAGAAAGAGGGGTACACAAGAAGGTGTACAATTACAAAACAGGGGCCAGACCCCTGAGAATTACACAGGTGGAATTTTATCACAATACAAGGTTTCCAGAATGCCTAATTTTGCTAATCCATCTGCAATGGAATTTAACTCCCTTGGAATCCAGTACAGAGAACATTCATAGGAGCCAATAGGTCCCTTGCCTCTGTTAAGAAGTGACTAAGTCTCCATGGTCCACCCTCCTGTTGTCCTAACCATTTTATGGTATTTGCTAAGCCACCTTCGATGGAGAAGTTCTGAATACCCAGTCTGCTGACTGGGTGTAAGAGCTGCTAACACTTCTGCCTTTGTAGAATCAGCTATACYAATCGGTCTACTGTATACTCAGCCCCTCTATTTTCTGAAATTTCTTTTCTTTCTTCCATTTTTTCATGGATATGCTAATTTTCCATGTATCAAATGAAGCTTATACATTATGTATGAAGATAATTAATAGTGAAAGATGGTTGCTATTTGCTTGGAACCAAAGGAATTACACTAGGATTCATGGTTTTTATTCAAAAAAAAAAATCACCTAGCCTTGCCTCGACACCTTGAAAACTATGCCTCTAGAGTCCATCGCAATACTTCAACTCAAAAAAATACAAAGAGAGCTTAACATGTGGAGCAATGATCACATGGTCACGACACTTTCTTTTGACCCTCCAATAAAAACCAAACACACAATGAATGCTTGCTTGGGTGATTTCATTTCAATGTGTTCACATGGACACAACTCACACAACTCACAACACTTCTGATCCTCTAATAAGATACTGACATGCTATTAATCAAACGAAAAAAAAAAAAAAAAAAAAAACAGATTATTCAGTGAGTGCATCCTATTGTTGCAACCCCAAATGACACACTAACAACCCACCAACTTATGAAAAGAAATAATAACAATAAAGATTGCCTCTAGGGTCTACTACCTTCGTATAACAATTTAGAAATAACAGGGTAGCCTAACATGTTGAATGATGAGTTTACACAACTACAAACACTTTCATGCAACACTCCAATGAAACACAAGCATGCTAACAATCAAATGAAAAACCAAATCTCCGAATGTGTGCATGCCTGGGTGATTTGGTTTCAATGAGTTCACATGGTCACAACACTTTCTTGCAACCCTACAATAAAACATATACATGATAACAATCAAATGAAAAATCAAATCACCCAATGAATGCATCCTATTTCCTACCCCAAATGAAACAAAAATAACCCACTAACATATGAAAAAATAGGGACTACCTCTAAGGTCTACTACCTAGTACTTACTATGACAATCAAGAAATGCCAAGGTAGCCTGACATGCATTGTGATGTGTTCACACGGTCACAATACTTTCTTGTGGTCTTCTAATAAAACACTAACATGTTATCAATCAAAAGAAAACCCAAATCACCCAATGAGTACATGCTTGGGTAATTTGATTTTGATGAGCTTACATGGTTACAACACTTTATTGTGACCCTCAATCATGAACATGCTAATAATCAAATTTAAAACCAAAGTAAATTAATAAAAAAATAGTATTTTATAATATCAAAACACCTGATATGCATTTTTGTGCATATTGGGTGTATTGATACTTTGAGCCTTGAAGACTTCAAAACCTGCACTAATAAGTATGGAAGAACTCAAATTTTTGTCTAATCAACAGATATTGATTTTCTTCTTTAGTCCTTTTGTTTCTTTTCTTCTTTTCCCAGGACAAAAATAGAGGCTTAGCCTCTCCATTTTCTGATTTTTTTTTCTTTCTTCCATTTTTTTCATGAATATGTTGATTTTCTATGTTCTAAATAAAGTTTATAATTTTTTATGAAGATTATAGACAATTAATAGTGAAAGATGGTTTCTACTTGCTATGCAACCTAGGAATTACCCTAGGATTCATGGTTTTTATTCAAGAAAATAACATAGCCTAGGTGACTAGGCATCAAGGTGCCCTCTATTGCCTACCTTCACATCAGTGTCTTGAAAACTATGAAAACAATGCAAATGGAAACAGTAACTATATCTATCTATGCATATAATATCTTGTTGGTATCTCCACATAATCCATCCAAAAGACAATGATGATAATGTGATGTCTATCCCATTTTAATTTTCATAAATGAGCCAGTCAGATCTGAATTATGGCTGTCAATAGTTAACGTATTACGTATCATTAGTAGGGACATTACCACAAGGGATCACAATGGCATAGATCATATCTCTTCAATTTGCAAGACAAAACAAAGACTGTACTTTATGTCAAAATTTTCATTAATTTTGAGACTTGAAGGATACATTGGGCAAGAATAAGAGCAGTGTTGCATGGACATGGACATAGACATAAGAGTCAGAATCTGATGCATGCCCAAGAGTCTGATTTGACAAGATGAGAAAACTTGGAGTTGGAGAAACATCTATTGAAAAGTATATACTATTAAAGTAATTTATAGCTTTTGAATTCTAACATCGTATACCTACACAAATGTCACCTTTGTTACTAAGTGATATTTGATACAAAAAATAAAATGGATTCATCTTGTAGATTAGTTGTTCATTTATGTCAAATGAGCTAGGAAACCTTCTTTCAAGCTTGGAAGAGGTGACCTTGCATTTTTTTTATCAATAACACCAGCTTCATTAAATTAAGAGAAAAGAGGGAATATGGATACAAGAGGGGAGATAAAATATCTTAGCTCCCCAATAACAGAATACAAAGAGAAAAAATTAAAAACTAGCCCAAAAGACAGACTCCCTATTCACCCCTTGCTTGGCCAACCCATCCGCAAATGAGTTGGCACTCCTCTTCACCCAGCTGTATTGGATCTCAATGTCCCTACACAGCCATAAGAACTGTTTCTTTTCATTGTTAAAGTTCCACAAACCACTGTCATCTTTCTTCAACCAGCTAACCACCACCTTCGAATCACCTTCCAGGATCAATCGGCTGACATTTAATTCCTTTGCTCTTTGAATTCCTTCAAGCGCTGCAAGGATCTCAGCCCTAAGAGAGTCACCTTCTCCAATAGGGCCAGAAAATAAAGCAATAACAATCCCTTCCTCATTCCTGAAAACTCCTCCAATCCCAGAGGGCCCTAGATTCCTTACACTACTGCCATCAAAGTTCAACTTTATGAAACCTGAGGGGGGAGGGGACCAAGAGGGACAAAGAGTCCTCTTGCATCTAGCAGTGGAAGCAATCTCTTTCCAATTTCTTAGCAAGTCATCCACAGGAAAGTCTGAAAACAACTCCAAAGATTTTAGCCAGTGGGCAGCCCTTAAAAGGATTGGGTCTAACAGTTCTTCCAGGGTTCTTTCCTTGTCTAAAAAAATATGTGAATTTCTTTCTTCCCACAATGACTAGCACACCGCTGCCCTAATACTCCTCCACATAGTTTTCCCTCGCTTCTTAGGCCATCTGAAAAAAGGAGAGAACAAACTTTGGACACTCTCCAGAGGAAACCAAGAACACCCAAAGCGGGAGAAAACCTACTCCCATACAGTTTTAGCAACCTTACAAGAGACTATGAGGTGGTAGCCGGATTCCCCATCGGTTTTACAAAGAGCACATCTATTAGGAAGTAGACAATAGTTGGGTCTCTTTCTCTGAAGTAAGTCAAATGTGTTTATTCTTTCCAGAAAAATTTCCCAACAAAAAAAGCCAACCCGAGGAGGAATAGGCCTACTCCAAATTTCTTTAGCCAGAAAGGACAACTCAAAGGGGACAAGAGGCTGAGTTAAGGTTTCAAAGAACGAAGCGCAAGAAAAAGTACCAGAGCTAAAAGGAGTCCAAAATCAGGTGTCTTCCTTAGCAAGATTTAGGAAAACATTCTCAAGGGAGGCTAGCAAAGATACCAAGCTGTCCAAGTTTGTATCCCTAATTGCCCTACGCAGGCCTAGGTTCTACCCAAAGCCAGAAGTGGAGTCTGAAGGAACCAAGAAAGAAGAGATAGGTTCATTTTTCAAATCTGATAGAGCATACAAGGAAGGGAACTAGTCCTTTAGAGGAGAATCCCCGACCCAAAGTTGTTCCCAGAATTTTATTCGGTTACCAGAGTTTAGACCATACCTGATCCAAGGGGAGAAGACTGGAAGCAGATTGTGAATGGATTTCCAAGGAGAAGCAACTGTAGCCCTTGCCATGATTCCAAGATCCCAATCATTGTCTTCCATCCCATGTATGCTAGCCACAATCTCAGTCCACAATTTATCCCTTTCCAATGAAAACCTCCACAACCATTTCCCCAACAGAGCCATATTCCTTTTCTTGAAGTTACCAATCCCAAGACCTCCTAGTTTTTTACACCTAGTGACCACCTCCCAACTCATCCTATGATCTCTCTTCTCCTCTCTAGGCTCCCACAAGAAATTCCTTATTAATCTTTCCAAGAGATTGGAAACCTTTGAGGGTATCTTAAACACTGACAATAGTAAACATGTAGGTTAGCTAGGGTAGACCTAATAAGAGTGACTCTCCCACCTAAAGAAAGATAATTTTTCTTCCAAGCCGCCAACCTCTTCTCAAACCTCTCCACTACTGGATTCCAGAAGCTTACATTCTTAGGATTGTCTCCTAAAGGGAGGCCCAAGTATGTCAAGGGCCAGTCCGAGATTGCACAACCTAGCTCACCTGCAAATTCCCTTAGGTCCCTTTTGTCCACATTCACTCCCACCACACAACTCTTATCAAAGTTCACCTTGAGGTTAGATATCTGTTCAAAGAGTCGTATTGCCAACTTTAGATTCCAGATCCAATTAAGGTCCCCTCCTTCAGAGAACAGGATTGTGTCATCAGCAAACTGTATATGTGTTAAAGGAACCTCCTCCCTTCCTCCACACTCTTATCAGATTCCTCGAGTTTGCTCTATGGATCAATCTCCCAAATACTATAGAGATTTTTTATTCCTCTCCTTCCTCACTAAAAGCAATAGGAAACCTTCATTCAAGCTTGGAAGAGGAGGTGACCTTGAATTTTGATGGAAGTGCCCTTGGGAATCCTGGTCTAGCAAGGATTGGAGATGTGTTTAAGGGAAAGGATGGAAATCTACTGTGGACTTATAGTGGTCAAATAGGGCTGGCAGATTCTACATAGGCTGAAGTTTTAGCAGTACTAACAGGGCTCTGAATCGCAAGAGATCTTGGATTCTCTTCCCTAATTATCAAAGGGGACTCAATCAACACCATCAGATGGCTAGGGAAGAAGATTGGAGGACCATGGAGATTAGCTCATTATTTGTAGGGGTGGATTCAAGCCAAGCCGAGCCGAATAGTACGAGGCTCGAGCTCGGCTCGCCAAGGTAGTACAAGGCTCGAGCTCGGTTTGAGCTAGAACCTTGACCTCAAGCTCGGCTCGAGTCAAAAACTCATAAGCTCGAGCTCGATTTGAGGAAAAAATGTTTTATAAAAAATATATATATATATAATATTTTTTATTTGATATTTAAAAAATTAAGAATTATAATATTTTTATTATATATATTATTTTCTACAATTTTATTATATATATATATATATATTTGAGCTTGGCTCGCGAGCCTCACGAGCCGAGCTCTATTAGGCTCGAGCTCGGTTGAAATCAAGCCGAGCCGATCTTGAGTAGCTCGTGAAGAGTCCGGCTCGTGGCCACCCCTAATTATTTGGATGAGGCTAGAGATATCCTGGAATCCTTGAATGCATTCTTGCTTTGGATTCCTAGAGAGTTAAATTCTGTAGCAAAGAGCTTGGCTAAAGCTGGAACTCATAGGGACTTTTTACACAGTGAGAAAGCTATGCCCTTGTAATCTGTGTGTGTGTCCTTTATAGTGTCTCCTTTGTACATTTTCTCATGTTTTCTTCTCTATTAATGAAATCTGTTACCTTTAGCTCAAAAAAAAACCAAAAACAAAACTAGTCCCACTTGATTGACCAGGCAAAACCCCTCTTTGCTGGGTTTTCATCCTTGACAACTCCAAGAAGATTTCCCTCACTGTCACTTAAGGACCTAACAACACAGCCTATTATCATCACTTGACCCACCTCCATTCTAATAGCAGAAGAATTAGAATCTAATCCCTCCAGCTATAACTAAATCAACACCCTCTCATTTATGCACAAACTCATCCCATCATTCTGCTCACTCGAACTTCCTAACACACCTTAGTACTTTACTCTATTAACATCTTAACAGCCCAAGGATCTCTGAGAAACCAACTGATAAGAAGACTTTTCAATTAGACAAGCCTCTTCATTGAGAGACATGTTTCCATTATCATTCTCTAGCAATTCCTATTCCCATGACGCAGCCCCAACCTCTTGATTCCCTTGATTATAAGATGTTTCTGTCTCATTCCCCACACATCCTCCAGCCATACCCAGCACCTCCTTTTAAACTCCATGGAAAAACTTTTGGAGACTCACGCTCACCACCAACCAAAGAACATAAATCTCCCTACCCGATACAATTACATGAAACAGCCTTCTCTACATATGGTTCAAGCCCCGCAACTTTACCCAACCCAAAATAAACGTGATCCGCAGTTACCTAAGAGAATCAAGTAACTCCTTCCTCACAATGGATTTAGCTATTTTATGGATTGAACACGGCCCAAAAACCAGAAAAGCAAGGTATTGCTTACTAATATAGAATTCCCACAATCAAGAAACAACTAGTAAATATTCGAAGACTAAACTTATTCAATTATTATATAGTCGATCCAAATAATAAGGAAAGAGGTGAAACCTGTAAGAACAAGAGGTGCAGAAGTTAATGTTGACGGTGCTTCCAAAACCGACTGCTCCACTGCCGAACGTTTTCTGCAATTGGATGAGAAAAGAAAATTGTCGATGTAGATAGGTTTTAATCGGAAAGTGCACAAGAGATAGTTTTTGGAAAATATGAGGGATACTTTTTTGTGAAGTTGTGTTTTTACATACCTGGGTGGGGAAGTCTAGGGCTTGCTTGACAATGGGTTCCTGTTGGAGGTGAGGATGGCTGTGGGCATGGTGGGGGGGCTTGGGAGGTGGTGGAGTGAAGAGGTTAATAAGATCTGAACAAAAGAGAAAGAGTGGCAACCCCAATAGAAGAAGCTGGACTCGATCCATGGAGGGAGAGCTCGATCAGTGGCCACAGACTCACGGTGTCAGATGAAAAAGGAAGTTTCTTCCCTTCGCGTTGAGGAGAATATGGTCGCTGTTCACGGGGTTTGACAATGTTCCAAATTCCAACGAACCCGTTCCGGGTGACAGCCTTCCGGTTTGACCAGGACCAAACAACCTTCGGTTTGCGTGATGAAACCGAATCTCTCGAATACAGGAAGAACGGTCAGACGAGGAGGTTAAAAAACTATAAATCATGAAAAYGGTCCAACCGTGACAACCCCATGACCCAGAAATTACAATCCAGGTCTATCAATGGGTTGGGTGTACCCGTTTGGACCGTTGGTGACGTTTTTACAGATGTAGGGGTGCAAATCGGGTAGGTTGGGCCTTTTCGGGCTTAAGGCCCAAGCCAGAGGTCAAATTTGATCTTTCAAATTCGAGTTCAGCCTGCAATGTAATTTGATGTACTTGGGTTGGTTCAGGTTGGTTGATGAATTTACCCTAAAATTATATATATATATATACTAGTAGGGACCCATGCGATACATGGGTTTTTTTGTTAAGGGAAGATAAAAAATAGAAAACTATATTTTATAATTTTATGTAGGAAATGGCAACAGGGTGCAGTGGGGATAGGGAGCCACTCCCATCCATGTCCTCACGCAAAAATAAAATAAAAAATCCTTGTACCCATCCCCATTCCCATGCAGATCCCCACTCTTCGTCTTTTCTTTTATGTTGTTAAATTCTTTTTTTTTTTTACTCTAGAAAATAAAACAATAATTTATAATCCTTTCAAAATAGATCCAAATATATCTAAACATATTCAAATACTTTTTAACATACCCAACCATATTTTAAAATATAGTAATACAATTTCCTTAAATAATTCATAAGAAAAACACAAATACTCAACATAAATCCTAAGTTTTGGGCTTCAAGGCATTAAACCTAATTTTTAAATTAATCAGCATTTTATTAAATGTTGCTAAATTTACTAAATTTTTAGATGCTAATCTTTTAATCTTTGTTTTCCTACTTTATAAATGTGATTAATTATTATTTTTAAATGCTACTACATTTTATTATTCTTTTTATTAAATGTTACCAAAATTTTCAAATGATATTTCCTAATTTTAAATATTATTTATTTTAGTTTTAGTTTTTTCCTACTTTTCAAATGTCATTAATTTCTTATTTTTAAATATTATTAATTTCTGGTAATCTTACACAATAGTATTAATTTATTAAAAGAAAAGGCAAAAATGTATTGATAATTTCTGGTAATTTGAAACAATTACTGCTAATTAATTAGAAGGAAAAACAACAATTCTTTGATAATTTCTGGTAATTTTCAAAAATTACCAGTAAGTTTTTTTGTAATCTTCAATGGTTACTTTTAATTTAACAATACTTGATTGATAATTTCTGGTAATTTTATAAAAAAATACTACTATTTTTTTGTGTAATTTTCAATAATTATTAATAAAATACTGTTAAATAAAATTAGAATAGTTACAACTAATTTATGGTAATTTTCAATGTTTGATGTTAATTTAACAATAATCCATTGATAATTTCTGTTAATTTTTAATAATTACTAAATAATTTACTGTTAAATAAATAGAAGAGATTAATTATTATCTAAACTAATTAGTCGAATTGAAGGCCAGATAAAATACATGAACTTAATGAGCTATTTTAAGTACATTAATTACTTCACTTAACTATTTTAAATTAGTTAAATTAAATTTACCAAGTTACTATAAACTAAATTAACTAAACCAAATTAATATATTGTATTAATGAACTTAACAAAATGGCGTACCTTACTTTTAGTTATGCTTACATAAATTTATCTAAATATTATTAATTAAATCGTTATTATTTCAATGAAATCATATTAAATTTAAATTCATCTAAACGTAACAAATTTTAAAGTTATCTAATGTAATGAAATTAATTTAATAACTTGACAGTAACATAATGACTACCTTACCCTTTAGTTAACATTAACATAACTCGACAAAGTTACTATAAACAAAAGATAGCCCAAGTAATTAACGGTCCAATCTAGGCGAAACCGTTCCAGTCTTGTTTGATATATCATATATGCAGTCGGGCTAGATCAAACCAAAACAATTTAAGTTATATGGGTAAGGGGTGGATCTATGTGTAGTATAAACTCTACCCATATAACCAATCTTCTTCACCCGGTAGTGAGCTATAGTGTTTGCTAGCGAACACGTGGCTAAAATGCATCATTTAGTTTGTTTTTAAGTTTTAACATGAAACCGATGGAAAAGAACAAAAACCGGTGAATTTTGGGAGGATTGGTTCTACGGTTCTACATGGATATCGTGGATGTCAGCGACCCCACCCCTAAACAACCAATGAAAAGAGAGATGATTGATTTCAACTAGGGGTGCTCACGGTTCGGGTAAGGCCTTTTTTGTGAATCGAATCGGTAGTATCAATTTTTGGAAAATCGATAATCGGAACTGAACTAAAACCAATTGGTTAATCAATTGATTGGTTCAATTAACCAACAGCTCGGTTCGTTGGTTTTTCGGTTTTTTAACTTTATAATAGTTATTCTAAAAATATATATAAATATATAATAGAAATTTATAAATATATATAAAATATTATATTTTAAATAATAAATAATATTATATATATATAATATTTATTAATTTATAATATATATAATATATAATATACATAAATATATAGAAAAACATGTATACCGGTCGGTTCGGTTAACCGCCGGCTTTTTAAATTAGTTAACCGAAACCGAACCGATACCTTTAATTTTTTAAAAACACCAAACCAAAACCAAACTGACCGATTCGGTTAACCAATTTTTCAGTTTGTTTTGATCAATTTTTTCGGTTGGTTCATTTTTTTCATTTTTTTTTTCTCACCCGTAATTTCAACATTTTTTGTTCCTTAGATCTTAAAGAGTATAGAAACCTTTATACTCAGACCCCTGCAGTCCGTTCCATTTGAACAACCGAAATTTAGTGAACTCTGCAATATTAGAGAGAAACATGAACAATGTAAATAAGTCACTTCATAATCGTTTTCCATAACTCACCTTTAAGCCCTCTGATATATGGGACGTAGTGTGAAAATACCACTAAACAGGAGAGAAGGGTCACTCTGTCGGTTCTCAAAAAGCAGAATCTTGGTTGTGACAAAAACGACGATGAAGAAGGGAGTGATATTGGAAAGTTGTAAATAGGTTAGGTTTCTTTTGTTAGACTAGTAGAATGGCCTACGATGCACCGTGTATTGAACATTTGGAAATGCTAAAGTTTGATCAATAAAACCTATATATAAGTGCATGTTTGCAATGATTAAGGAGATTAAACATTGAGCTTTTTTGGTAAACTAAACATGGAGGTGTGAAGTTTTGGATCATTATCTTTTTCAAAAAAAAGTGGGGAAGAAATAATAGACTCCGGATCTTCTGCCGCCCATGAGAACTCTGCCCACGCCTACCCACAATACACTACCCATAATACTATGCAGAGGATGAGATGTTCTCCATATATGGCTGGGATAAACATGGGCAGGAGATCCGGACTCGAAAGAACATGCTTATATGGGTATCATTTTCCTTAATCAGAAAAGTTGTAGAAAATTTGCATGCATGTGAGGTAAAATGTCTTTTCTAATACAAAAGAAACTAAAAATTTAAAAATTAAATAGAAATTAAAATCAAGCTTTAATGTCCTTTCTAATCCAAATCAAAATGCCAGTCAAGGTTCAAAATATCGATACGCCTGATACGCCGGTAAGGGCATATCGGGCAAATCGATACACATTTTATTGCTTTTTTTTAATTTTTTTATTGCAACCGGTTCAGGGGACCGGTTTAGGTCTTCTCTACCCCCTGAACTGATCARACTTCTGATACACCCACTGTAGGGGCATTTCGGAGGGGTCCTGGAACAATACGTCTCAACCGATACGGGCCGATACGTGTCGATAATTTGAACCTTGATGCCAGTGCAACACTGAAAGAATGACAATGATGGTAATGTTTGACTATACTTCTCATATATTGGGCACAAATATTGAAAGTTTAAATATATAGTTCAAGTCTTCAAACAATTATACAATATAATAAAAAAAAATGTCCTCACAAAAAACTAAGATTTGATTTTCATAACTTGAATATAATGGCAGATGCAAATGCATTAGATTGGGACAATAATGTACCAAATCAATGATATGAACAATATTACCTATAGAGATGAGTCACCCCAATGAAACAAAGAATTGACATAGAATTGATGGAGAGGCCACTCGTAACCAATCAACCACTCTTTTAGTAATATCTTCGATGACTTAATGACTTTAACCCTTAAAGCATTGGCTCTGGTGCTATCTGAACCCAAGACAACCATGTTACTCTGAGAAGCAATGAAATTGTAAAATCAAAACACAATAAATTAGACTATAAAATAAGAAACAAATATACAAGATTACATCGTTCAATTGAAAAGCCTACACTGACAACATTACCATGCAAACCAAAAAATGGGTGTATAACTACTTTCTTGTTGTCTCAAACCCCACAAAACCCAATTCTATGAAATAAATAAAAGCTAAATAAATTAAAAGTTTATCTTGAATAAATTAACTAACATGAAATTTACGAGGTGAAGAGACAATAAATTTAACTTGCTCCAAATTGAATGTTTTTACATTCATGAGGTATCCCAAGTATGTTAGTGTTGATAGATTTGCTAATGAACACAAAGAGGAACAAAGATCTAAATCACATGCAAAGTAAGAAAAAATTATTATCCAATTATCTTTGCTTAACTATAAAGAAATAAGAGGAAGAAGATGGCAATAAGACTTACAGAGAGGTAGCAACTAAATTTTTTTTTTTTAAAAAAAAAGCAAACCATAGCAGCTAAAAGACAAAGTATAGTGTTAAGTGTTACTAATAGAAAATAGGAATAGTAGCAAAGTACAGACTACAATGTTAAATTTTACCAATAGGAATACTAGACAACTGAAGATAGAACCCAAAATAATATACTTGAACCATAATTAGCTCCATATTTTAGTCACAAATAATTGGGTAGATATAATCCTTATTTTCATCTCACTTGTACAATTATACAATATTAAGTATATTATTCATTGAAGATTCCTAGTGAAGTTTAACCAAATAGCTATACCATAAATTAGGTTAAGGTATAGATAAATTAAGAATAATAATGTTTGTCCCTTCAATTAATATAGAGGCTACTCAATTAAAGTTTGTTGGTATATTAAATTTGAAGAACATGAAACAATTTTTAATTGTTGCAAGAACTTGCAACTAAGTTTGATGAATTGCATAAGATAACCAATGATATGATGGTTATATATTTTTCTCAAATATAATATTCACCTAACAAGTGTGCTGCCACCTTAGTCTAAAAAAGGGAAGAAAATGGGACTAAGGCATAAATTTTACCTAATAACATCAATAATTTTTATTCAAAAGATAATATCATAGCATTAAGCAATATTCACATTACAAGGGTGCCACAGATAAACATCACTAATATCCTCCCAAAGTAATTGCTTGGCTTCCATAGGAGGATTGTTCCAAAAAACAGAATTATGATACTCATAAGCTATATTAGCTAGATAGTCAGCACACCTATTAGCTTCTTGATAACAATGAGTCAAAAAAACATTTGGACACTGGCTTAACAGATTGGTAGTGCTTTGGAATAGGATTTCATTCTTCCAATTTGGGTATTTTTATGATTGTAAGACTGATATAGTGGACTTAGGGTTTGACTTAATAATGAGGGGAAACCATCCTTTGTGCAAGGCAATTGAAACAACTTTATATACTACCCAAAGCTTAGCTGTTTTAATTCAATCGTAGTAACTCCAATATTGATGCAAAATCCTTCATTTGATATTTCTCCAAATCCCTAAACAGTCCTACTGCATTAGCCAATCCTGTGCTAATACTTGTGTTGAGGGAGGGTTCCATTTGACACTTCTCCAAATCTTGGAATCACTCAAAAACAACTGGATTAGAAGCAAGGACATGTCTATATAATATATGGATGACTATATCGATTCAACAGTTGTATTTATTTGTTGGAAAATGTTTTTATTCCTAGATTTCCATATTATCCATAAAGTGTGACTTGATAATGATAGGTTTCTTTTGTCCAGAATTTTTAACAAATGACTTACCCATTGTATGAAATCCTGTTCAGCACTTGGATTAATATCCAGATATGTCCAAATATTTCTATAGACATCACAGTTTGTAAATAAATACTTTAAATCCTCAGGTTCTTGATTACATATTTGACAAACAGGGTTTTGATTGATATTTCTGTGATAAAATTGAGCGGATGTTGAAAGTTTGCCTTGAATTAGCAACCACATAAAAAATGTTGAATCCTATAAGAACAAGGTAGTTTCCAAATTCGATAAGGAAAGTAATCATATTGGTCACATAAAAAATGTTGAATCCTATAAGAACTTCATAGGTTGATTTAACTGTTACATTGCCATCCTTAGTCGACCAACCCCCAAACCCACTTGTCTTATTCTATGACACTTTCTGATCTAGTTTCTTAAGAGAGATTGCTCTAATCATATGGACAATTCTAGTGGGTAGAAGAGATTCAACTTCAGTGAGATTCCATATTCCATTATCAATTCACTACATGATTGATTTATACGGCTCTATGGTTAGGAAATATTGAACAATTGACAAAAATTGTGGGTGTACCATCATCAAGCATTAATCCTCCACTTGGTAGTTGAATGAAATGAGGACCTGAATGTAAAACAAAGGTTAGCTTAGCTATTACTATCGCCCCCMAAAAAAAAAAAAAATCAGCTGTTAAGTATTAAAAAAAAGGTTCGTTGTTACAACAATCAATTCAAATAGAGATGCACAAGACAATTAACTTTTAAAACTTTCAGCATTGGTTTCTTGGGTTTACTAAACCAACAATCCCAAGAGGTGAAGAGTGAAAGGGGAACTTGCCAAACAAAAATAATATATGAGAATGGGACAAACAAGCATTTACAGGGGTAATATTGGAAAAGGGTAAAATCAGGGTGTTCAACCATTCTACTTGTCTCATTCTCATTTTTATATATGGGTAATAGAAATGTGGAAGGGTGGCAAGTGATATTGGAAAGTTGCAAATACGTTAAGTTTCTTTTCTTAGAAACGTGGAAGGGTGGCGTGGAGTTTCAAAGATAAGCGGAGATGTAGGCTGATTGGTTTTGGGAAGTTGCCTTCTTTGTCACGATTGTAGAACTTCGATGATGTGGCTAATGGAGATGGTTCAAGGCCTGATGATGTGGCTTAGCGGGTGGCATGGGTAGGGAAGGGGAAGAAAGAGAGAGTGAATGAGGGAGATGAAAAGGGGTAAGGGAGAAAGAAGAGTGGTTTAAGGAGATAAGAGAGAAGGGGGAACRGGAGAAGGAGAGGGGTGCTGATGTGGGACTTAGTTGCTTTATAATATAATATAGATATGCATTTATGTAGATAAATAGATATTTATATGTACATATGTATAAATATATATATATATATGTGTGTGTGTGTGTGTATGGTTGGGTTGAGCTTGGGCTATCTAAGGATTAGGCCTAGGCCTGGCTCGAAAAATAAGCCCAGCCCAATGACCAAAGATCTAAGCCTTGTCCGTGTAAAATTTTTGGCTAGATCGATTCAGACTCAGGCTAGGCCTGCCCAAGTTGCACCACTATACAAATGTAGACTATATTGTAAAGCTACTACATTGTAAAACTACATTTGAATGTTTGTAAATATGCTTTACTATGTTCGATTGAGATTATGGCTCAGCTTGTAAAGAGTACAAATACAAATACGTATAATATAAATACAAAATTGAGAAATACCAAATACAAGATTTTGCACTACACATATGGCACAATTTGAAAGGAGTGCAAATAAAAATATGTATGGTACAAATACAGGTTTAGAGCTACAAAATACAMGACTTTGCATTGTATATATTTGTATTTATAATATTCTCAAGCTGAGCCATAATTGTAAAATTACCCTATGCACATACAAATACAGATGTAGACTATTTGGACAAGTGGCAAAGTTCTCTGGACTGAAATTTGTTCCATAAATATCTATATTAATGCTAATATAAACATTTATTTGACTAAAACACCTTTATGTTCAGAAATATAATTTGAACAATCACTTTATTTTTGTCTTTATTCAAATCTCTCTAATTTTACATTTACGGGAATTGTTTATAATTAATAATATCTAATACATTGCTTATTATATTAATATTTATTGATATTATATAAGCAAATGGAACCTTCAGACCATGCCATTTTATTTGTCTTAGCTTCTTAGTTTGGAAACTGTACATATAGCTAATTAATAACCAAAAGGTATCTTTCTGCCCACTTGTACTGTTATTTATCGAATTACAACTTATCCTTTGTCAAATCAGCAATTCAGCGCCTTAATTGGCTAGAAAATCACTTGGCTGTAGATGGTCATTCGACCCAAAGGTAGGGTTATCAATGGAATCCAAAAATCTAATATCTGATTTGACTACTTACTTCCGATTAATAGTTGCATTGGATATGAATTTAACCTAATATGATTAAAAATTGAATCCGATAAAAATTTTTATTTTATATGTTTGTAAAGTAATAATTATATAAAGTTTATAATTAATAAATTTAACATTTAATATTATAAACATTTTTATACATGTATAAATTGAAAACAATTGAATTTTTTTTTTTTTTATTAATTTAAACACAATATCAAACTTGGGAGTTGGGACGACTAATGTCTAATGGGAGTCTAAAGAGTTGGGATGGGCATCCAGTCCCCAACATTGGCAAGAGCCCAATGCACGCATGTAGAATTGAAAAACAATGTCGTCTACCATGTGCTCAAATTAATTCTTGGCCCAATGGGAGATATATCCACTCTCTCTCTCTCTCTCGTATCGACAGAGCTGAGCAAATAAGGTGGCGTTTGGAAATGTTTCAATAGAGCGTTTTTGGTGTTCTGCGGACCAAAAAACGCTCCTATCAACGAGTTTAGGCTTTGAATGTGGTACCTTGAATCGCTTACTTCCCTAGGTTGAGGCGTTGAGCTTGAGCTCACTATGATAACCCAAACAAGGCCCAGGTTGGGCTTCAGTTGATTCTTTTAAGGGATAGTGATCGTCGTGGATCCATAGACAGGTCTGGGCCCCATGACTTGCCACCATGTCCCCATACATCACCCACCCGGCACCACTGCCACTAATCACCATTAAATTGAATCGATGGAGTTGAGCTAAACCTAACAGATTGCTATTGCCCCCAAATTATCCTAAGCCTGAGATATGGAAAAATTGAGACTGGTGTGACAGGTTTATTTGGGAGAGAGAGAGTAGGGGAGAGGGGAACCCATCTATTGGCCCAGTTGGCAGTTTCCTTAGGCCCAAGATTTAGTCTTCTTTAACCACTGCACTGGTTTTAACTTTTAAGTCGAGCAAAAGCATGTCAATTTGATAAGTAAAAGGCTAAGGCCCATCACCATTCCAACCCTTTCGATGAACTGGGCTTGGTTGGTCCGGCTCCAAACCCGAACCTATTCGCCTGAGCAGAGCAGCTGCGCTCGTTTTCGAGCTCTGAAGTCTGAACCAAACTGTCCCTCGTAGTAGCGGTTATTAAATCTCTTTCCTGAACAGTTAAAACTGTTAAACACTTAAACAGTTATTAAGCCCCAATTGTGGGTTGTGGAAAGGCAAAGGGTATACCCCGACAACGAAGTCTAAAGCCTCTACGTCCGAAGGTTGACTCCTTCCTCGAAAGCTCGGACGCGGTGACATAGAAGACTCAGTGAATTCTTGAATCAAAAGCAGAGACTCGCCATTACTGCTACCACTTATCAAAGCTGTCTGGCTGAGCGTTGCAGGTCAAAACCCGCTCTCCGGATCCTCGATTGCCGACAATAAGTAGTCTCTCACCTGACCCACGTCCCCTGGAGTCTGACCCATATGCCTATCTTCCGTTGCCGTCGACTACCTTGAAATGACTTTGAACGCCGGTTTCCCGGCACCGGCGTTAGAATCCATCCGCCACTCTTTATCGGAAATATGTGTCCCCGACCAGAGCTACTCCTGGGAAAACCCTAGGCGGTTTTCCGGTTATGCAAATCGGCTTCAGCTTCTTTTAAATCAGTTCACCAGGTCCTCGCCGGAAAACTGCTCGGCGTCCGTGCAAACCGCACTGAAAGGGATCTCAGGAGACCTGAAGAAAGCAGCTGAGACATTATCAGTTTACAGAAACAAAAGCAAAATATTCGTTCTCATCAATTGTCACACCCTGTGCACATCTCTCGAGGAGTGTACAATAGCAATTGGAGGATGGCTTGCCTTGCTCGATTCTGTTCTTCTGGACAACCCAGACCTCCGCAAGAAGGTGGCCGATCTCTCCTCAGAAATGAGGCAACCTCAGTTCAGAGTAAGTTAATATCTTCTACTTCTCTCTCTCTCTCTCTCTCTTGATTCCTCAATTTTTCTCATTCCTGTTTTCCCAACCGAAAAATTTGAGCTCTCTGGGACTTCAATTAGGTAACGGAGAACGAAGAGAGGGTTTACTTGACCCTAGAGAAAGAAGGGCAAGGTAGACAAACAAGCAAAGCAGTCCAGAGCGCTATAATCATGGATTTAGCTCGTGCTCTCGGAACTGACCCTGGAAACCACGCTGAACTAGCAGAGCAGATCAAGCTCTTGAAGAACGATCTGGTCCGGTCGAATTCTGTTTCAGAGAGACGGATTCTGATGTCGCTGGAGAGAATATTTGATAGTTGGTCCGTGGAACCAAAGATTGTTGCCACAAATTTGGATTTTGATACCGAAGAGGATGCACACATTCCACCCTTCAAGAACTTCATCTGCCCATTAACAAAGGAAGCCATGAAGGATCCTGTCGTCCTGGAATCTTTGCAGACTTACGAACGGACGGCAATTGAGTACTGGTTTCAGCGGTGTATAGAGGATGGCCGTGATCCAACGTGTCCTGTTACTGGACAGGTCCTTAAGTCCTTGGAGCAGAAGCCAAATATTGGTCTTGCCGGTGCAATTGAGGAGTGGGTTACTAGGAACATTGATATTCATATTAAATCAACGGTGCAGCACTTAAGTGAGGATTCTCTTCCTTCACCAGAATGCATCCATCAGATTTTAGATAATATATATAAGATATCTGAAGAGCACCCATCGAGTAGATATAGAATAAGGGATGCTGGCGTTGTTGTTCTCATCATCAATATGCTGAAAAACAGTTCAAAAAATATTGGATCGCAATTGAGAACAAAAGCTCTTATGACTTTGCTTAGCATGGCCAAAGATGAAGACAGCAAGGTATGCACGTTTGTTCTCTCCCTTGAAAGATTTAATATAGGCTGCATAATCATTGAAGCTGAAATTTGTTTTTCAATGATATATATAACTGGAAGTAGACAAAATTAACAACTAGAAATTTAGTGGTATATGAGCCAGAAAATAAAAACAAACAAGTAAATTGAAAATTAGTGGTATCATGGCAGAGGATCTTTCAATTTTTTCATGTGTGTGTGAAAACTACTTTGTGCATCACCAACCAGGTCAACCTTCTATTTTAGAATCCAACTCAAATATGATCTGCTAACATTTGACATCTCCACACAATTGATCTCCACATTTTGAAAATGTACAATAGTAATAATCCAAATCATTAAATAAGAAGTTTACAAGACAGTAGGGAATATTGGGTAGGTGGCATATATACGTAGTAGCCACCCAAAACAAGGTATTAAATTCTCCATAAGTGTTAATGCGCCTGTAGATACCTTTTGTAATAGGTATCCAATTTAGCCATGTTTCTAGCAGAATTTCTTAGAGATGGTATGCGGCATTTCCAACAAGGCCAACTAGGAGGGGCAACAAGCTCCATTTTTTATCTATGGTACAATGTGCCACAAGATTTTGTTGCACCTAAAGTCAAAACATAACAAGCTTTGCAGCTCACTTGTTTGTTGACCTTAGGGCATCATTATCGTCATCACCATCATCTAAGTGTTATCCCAACTATATGGGGTTGACTACATGAATCCTATTTCACCATTCCATTCTGTTTAATGCCATATCAATTATTAAATTATGAGTGCTTAAATCATTTTTTACTACTTTGACCCATGTCCTTTTTGGTCTGCCCCTGACCCATCTAGCTTCTTCAACTTGTAACAGATCGCTTCTTCTTATGGTTGCTGTAGGTGTCTTCTATGCACATGACCAAACCATCTTAGTCTACTTTCTCTCATTATATCACCTATTGGATCTATTCTTTCTACCCCCCCCCCCCACACCACAAAAAAAAAAAAAAAAGGAGCTATTCCTAGGTTCCTTCAAATGACTTCATTTCTGGCCCTATCCTTTCTAGTTTTTCCACTAATCTATCTCAGCATATGTGTTTCTGCTACACTCATTTTTTGGACATGTTGTTTCTTGACTGCCTAACACTCTGCTCCATATATCATAGCTGGCCCTACAACTGTTTTGTAGAATTTTCCTTTTAATCCAAGTGGCATTTGCCTATCACAATGCTGTAAGTGGACATGTTTGTTGGCCTTAGCTATTAGGTTCAATTTACCCACTAGAAGGCCAGTGTAGTGTTTTACTAGCAATCCAAACCAATTATGCAGATTGATTTTTGAGCTAACTTTTTTGGGCCAAAAACAATATTTTGGACAGAACTGTATAGATAGCTCTCATAGTTCTCAAAGAGATCTTCTCAGCAAGTCAATGGTCACTGTAGTGAATGTTTCCGCATAAAGTCATGCCTCTTGAAAGCTAATAGAGTATTTTCCTCTGGTTGGAGAAAATTCAGCTTCAAGTTTTAGTGGGAATGATGATACCTTTTCTTTGATAATAAAATAAAAATTCATTAAAATAAAAAGAAAGAAAGTGATTACAAGAACAGGTAATAAGAGATAATTTAGAAGGAAATAAACACCCTAATCTTTCCTCTCAACAGAAAACACCCCAATTTAATCAAACCCATCACTCCCATATGGGAAAACAAACAAGAAAGTTATGATCAGCACTTCTAAATTTTCAAAAGGAAGTACCAACTACAGAGTTCTTGGATTTTTTACATTATACAGAACATTATCCTGAGCCTACATATCTTCAAATTTTTACCTCCTCTCCAACTCAACCCTTCTAACTATTTTCCTTGGAAAAAGGAACCAATCTTGAGCAACTAGCTTTTTCAGCCCCAAACTTCTCACTTTTCAATTTTTATCTGTCTTCTATCTTCAAAAGTACTTTTCTTGCATTTTCTTCACACCCTGTAGAAAACCTTCAGCATCTTTCTGATCTGGATTTCTTTCTCAATCACCCTGTTTAAGTCTACTTTCTTTTCAACTGAAAGACTTTGTCAACTGGAGTGAAATTTTCATCATTCTCCTGCTCCTTGTCAATCCTTTTCTTACTCTCCAGATTGTTGCCACAAACCCTTTTTGTCACTTATTAAACCTTCTCTTAAGGGTCTTGTTATCTAAACCTCCTGAGAGATCTACTGGTTCTTATCTCTAGGGAATGATGGAGGACCGTGGCAAAATATATATCTCTTTGATTCCCGACTTGATTTCTTCCACCTACCCCCCCATCTGTAACGTCTAATCCCTTACTGGTTCTCTCTGCCGATCTAAAATCCTCCTCCTCTTCCAGTTTACAAAAAAAAAAAAAAACCACTGAATTATACTGTCGATCTGAATATAAACATCCATTTGCAATCCTACAAATTCAAACATTGTCCTTCACTGTCCACTTCCCCATCTGTAACATGTAATCCCTCACTGGTCCTCTCTGCTGATCTAAAATCCTCCTCTTCCACCTGTAATAAAAAAAAATCGAATTATTCTGTCAATCTGAATATAAACACCCATTTGCAATCCTATGAATTTGACCATTCTGTCACTCTTATTGCAAGTACCTGTCCCCAAAAGACCATCTTCTAGACAGGAAAAAACTTAGGTTGCATGGACTGAATGGTGATTCTTACAAATATTGATTGTTCTATTCAAACTTAGGTTTCTACAGCCCTTTGGGTGATTTGGGAGGAAAGGAATAACAGGATGTTCAAAGCAAGGAAAAGATCTCTTGAAGTGATCAAGGGAAGTATGCAAATTGTATACAAATTAAGGCTGTACAGTACTGATCAGAACAATAAAGTTTTTTGAAGAATTTTAAGTTGAAGATTTACTAAGAAGCTAGAGTGTAATAGCAGCCTTCCCACTCTGCAGGAATGTGGATTCATTGCATTGGACTCCTCCATCAGAAGGCAGAGTCAAATTAAACTTTGATGGATGCAGCATTGCTAATATAGGAACATCTGGAATAGGAGGTGCCTTTAGAGATCATTATGGGAGCCATATGCATTATTTTCTGGGCCTATAGGGGTAGGAAATTCAATCAGGGCTGAGCCGTTAGCAGTTCTATGGCCTAAGAGTGGCAAGGGCCCTAAGATTGAGGAATATTGTGATAGAGGGGGACTAAAGGTGGTGGTGCAATAGTTGCTGTTGAGTGGGCCGACTTGTGTTTAGTTTATTTCCTTTTAAATTAAGATGTTGTTGGGCCTTGGGCMCATTAGTCTTTATTTTTTAAAGAGTTGTAATTACTTAGGTTGAGTTGCCGCCCTACTTAGGGCATCTTTGTAATATCTCATACTTAAGTTAATTATAAATAGAATGAGGCACTGGCGGCTAGGGTTAAGTCAATCTATCCTAGTTGACTTTCTTCTCTTTTCTTCCCTTTCCTTTGTCTCTTGCTGAAATCCCCAACTTTCTACTCTTCCTTTCACAAGAAGCTTGGCCGAAATCAGCACATAAGGTTTTCTACTGTTGCAATAAAACAAACAAGGTCCTTGGCATTTGGCAATATTGGTTTTACTTGAAGGAGCTGAGAACCTTGGCTTCTGATGTGAATGCATGCTTCAATTGGACCTATAGATGGCAATGTGCTAGCCGCTGACTCAATTGCCAGGCAAGGGGTGAACGGGGATCAAATGTTCTAGGGCAATTTGTTGTAAGAAACTTAGTGTTGGGTGTGGAAAATGCCTTGATAGAGTGACTGGCACTTGCTTTCTTGGGGGGTTCTTGGCATTGTGTACAAAAGAAAAATATTTTTAATGAAAGGACTGGGGCTGAAGAGGAATGATTTATTTCCAATTGGAGGAGGATCAAAGAGAAAATAATGATCAAGAACAAAATGGGCAGGGGACTGAAGATGATGTTGAACAGTCAAGGATGATGAGGATATCCCACTGGATGAATCAAGTGAACTTAACAGGAGGAGTGATTTAAAGTAGGTGGTTGAAACTTGAAACAGAAGATGAAGATAATTTTGCAAGAGTAATTTTTTTATGACTTCATTTCAGTTGGGACAGGGAGTCAAGGAACAAGACAGAACTGTTGGTTCATTTCAGTTGGGACAGGGAGGGGATGAGGTAGCAGGGTTAAAGGAAGGTAGGCCTGGGTCTACTCTACTGTAATTGGGTTAGAGAATATTAGGAAAGGTGAAAGAGGGCTTTGATAGTGGAGGCAATGGAGAGACAAGAAATAAGGAAAATGGGAAGTGATTAAGGAGCTAAGGGAGTTGAAGATAATGGGTAGGTGGGGGCACAAGAAATTGACAAAGGAAAGAAAAAATAAATGTTATAATTGAAGAGTTTGAAGGGAGGAGGGTGGGGCTATCGTTAATCTTTTTTTTTTTTTAATGAGGACAACTCATAGTACATAATTGCTACTTTTAGGAAAACAAAGTTACTATTTATGGTAAAATCGCAAATTGCTATTTATATTAAAAACAAACCTGATAATATGAACCATGAGGGGAAGATGAGATTAGGACATCAAACTAACAAATTGATAGAAACCCAAACAACAACAAATACATAACAATAACTGAATGAAGATTGACCAAGAGCAAGGTGTAAACAGAAACCAATTCTATTTGGGACAATTGAGGGATTCTGTGTAAGCAATAGTGAATTCGTGGGGTAGGCGCATAGGTGACATTGGTATATATCTTGTATGTAAATTATTCTATTATTATTCTTTGATGATTTAATAAAATTCCAGTTATTCATAAAAAAAAAAGACTGACCAAGAACAATGAAATACTGCACTGTAGTGAAACAAACACAAAAAGAATCTAACAAATTTGATTATTATCAACAACATCATCATTATCATCAATAGAGTCTTCTTCTTATTGCTCTGATACCATCATGCTGTTAGTAAATCTGAAGAGAAGATAGAAGAGAGAGGAAAAGAGACATCAATTCTGTCCGCCTCTCTCTCTCTCTCTCTATCTATCTA